GCAGGTGAGCAACCTCTATAAAAGTGTTTACAACGGCAACAAAATCTTAAATTTTTTATGTAATTGTTATTTAGTCTTAATTGGGAAGATATTACAAATTTTATGGGAAACTAGATAGGAAGCCTATTTTGGAAAGGCGAAGTTTATATACCCTTACAGTTAGCAATTGGATCGGGGAATCTATCATAACCAAGCCAAAAATGCATTAATCTCAAATCGGAAAACAGTTCTATGTTAGTTTTGAATAGGTTAACAAGTCTGCATACTAAATTTAATATTAAAAAAATTAAATTTTTATCAATTTTTGAAAATTTTAGTGATGTAACCCCTTATAAATTTTTGAAAAATTGGCAAAAAAAATAGATTTCATCCAGACATGGCTAGAATGATCCGCCTGTCGATGCTGATCAAGAATATATATGATTTATAGGGTCAGAAATTACTCCTTCACTACATAAAACAATTCGGACTGAAATTAAGACACCCTGCAAGGGGCTGTTACCTTTCTTAATTAATCACGATTACGCAGACAGCCGGATGAGGCTGTCGATCTCCGCCTCCAACTCTTTGACCTGCCATGAAACCCAAGTTAAATCTTAAAAAGAAACGAGAGAATACTGACTCCGACTTACCTTATTATACCCTTGCAGGGTATTATGATTTCAGTCAGAAGTTTGCAACGCAGTGAAGGAGACCTTTCCGACCCTATAATGTATACATATTCTTGATCAGCATCAACAGCCGAGTCGATCTAGCCATGTCCGTCTGTCCTTCTGTGATTCTGTCCTTCTGTCTGTCCCCACCCAGTGTCGGGGTCTGTCACCTGGTAAGCTGGGACTGGTTGCGCTTTTTTTCCCAAATTTGGCGCCACCTATGCAGGCATTTGGCGATTCCGGCAGGGGCGCCACTGACGAGTTCCCAGCGACCAGTGTTGCCAGACTTTTCGGTCCCAGCGACCAAAAGTGCCAGATCGGGCGATCTGGAAGCTAACTTTGTTTCCCTTGCTTCCATGATAAACAAGAAAGGAAGCTAACTTGGTTTTGATGTTTATATTATAGACTTAAATGCTGAAAACACTCACAAAACAGAGTTTCAATTTTTCTGAATTTTAAAATTTTTTCTCTGAATTTTTAACATTTTTTAGATTTTTTATATTTATTTAAGAATTTTTTAGAATTAAACACATTTTTTTAAATATTTTAACTGCCAAATTTGAATTTGCATTTAACTGCCAAATTTGAATTTGAATTTAACGACGATCAGTTTCAGTGTGACCAGGTGCAGTTGTAAAATAACGCCTAAATTTGGATTCAAAAGGTTTGAGTCTCCGCTAACTTGCGTCGGCTCCTAAATGGTTTGGAACTTGGCCATTTTATAACAGTTTATACCAGTTTTCAGCTGCTTGCTGCTGATTTCTGTTCGCCTGTTACCCCAATTTGGGGAACGGGCAATTTGCTTGGAAATGTTCGGAAATTTGGATGGGCTGCTGTAGGGATGTTGTTGTAAAAGGTTGTTGTTGCCATCAAGCTGTTGTTGTCGGCAACAAATAGGTATAAATGCATAAAATGAAATATAACAGTTTATACCAATTATTATTTTAGCCCAAAAGTTTTTATAACAGTTTATACCAGTTTTCAGTTGCTTGCTGCTGGTTTCTGTTCGCCTGTTACCCCAGTTTGGAAAGCGGCCAATTTGAATGAAAAGTTTTGCTCACTTGCATCAGTGATGCTCATCTGCATCAGTGATGCTCATCTGCATCAGTGATGCTCATCTGCATCAGTGATGCTCATCTGCATCAGTGATGCTCATCTGCATCAGTGATGTTCATCTGCATCAGTGATGCTCATCTGCATCAGTGAGGCTCATCTGCATCAGTGATGTTCATCTGCATCAGTGATGCTCATCTGCATCAGTGAGGCTCATCTGCATCAGTGATGCTCATCTGCATCAGTGATGCTCATCTGCATCAGTGATGCTCTAATGGGACAAAATGCATCTCACTAACTGCCAGTGATGCTCATCTAGCTATTTTGCATTATTGGGACAAAAAGGAATCTCACTAACTGCCAGTGATGCTCATCTAGCTATATTGCATTATTGGGACAAAATGGCATCTCACTAACTGCCAGTGATGCTCATCTAGCTATTTTGCATTAATGGGACAAAATGACATCTCACTAACTGCCAGTGATGCTCATCTAGCTATTTTGCATTATTGGGACAAAATGGCATTTTACTAACTGCCAGTGATTCTCATCTAGCTATTTTGCATTATTGGGACAAAATGGAGTCTCACTAACTGCCAGTGATGCTCAGCTAGCTATATTGCATTATTGGGACTAAATGGCATCTAACTAACTGCCAGTAATGCTCATCTAGCTATATTGCATTATTGGGACAAAATGGCATCTCACTAACTGCCAGTGATGCTCATCTAGCTATTTTACATTATTGGGACAAAAAGGAATCTCACTAACTGCCAGTGATGCTCATCTAGCTATTTTGCATTATTGGGACAAAAAGGAATCTCACTAACTGCCAGTGATGCTCATCTAGCTATATTGCATTATTGGGACAAAATGGCATCTCACTAACTGCCAGTGATGCTCATCTAGCTATTTTACATTATTGGGACAAAAAGGAATCTCACTAACTGCCAGTGATGCTCATCTAGCTATTTTGCATTATTGGGACAAAATGGCATCTCACTAACTGCCAGTGATGCTCATCTAGCTATTTTGCATTAATGGGACAAAATAGCATCTCACTAACTGCCAGTGATGCTCATCTAGCTATTTTGCATTATTGGGACAAAATGGCATCTTACTAACTGCCAGTGAGCTCATCTAGCTATTTTGAATTTTTTGCATTTATTTTTCACTAACTGTCAGTGATGCTCATCTAGCTATTATTTAGGCAAAATGGCATATCACCAACTGCCAGTGATGCTGATCTAGCAATTTTGCAATATTTGATGTTTTTCATTGTCCACCGCAAGAATGCCCTTCTATTGAGCCTGTTTAAATTATCCCACCCAAAAAAAAAACCGCATCCTCCTCAGAAGTCAAAAATAACAAATTTTTAAAGGTTTTTTATTTACTCAAACTCGATTGGGGAGAGAGTCATACAAGTTTTTGAAATATTCCAACGTTATTGTTGACCAGGCCTGTTTTATACTGTGAATTAAATCCTCCTTGGTAGCATATTGCTTGCCACCCTCGTACACCTTCCTAGCTAACCATCCTCAGACGTTTTCTATTATGTTCAGGTCTGGGGAGTATGGGGGCCACTCCAGGACACTGACATTTTCCTTTTGATTCCATAGTTTTACGGACCGGGCTCTGTGGATTGGGGCTTAGTCGTGCTGAAAATGCTATTTCAAATTTCGAAATAAGTTTTTAAAAACGGGAAATGCTGTTTTTAGAACGCAATTGTAATTTTCCGCGTTTATCTTTGGGGTTAAAAACTGCAGTTCGCAGTTGCCATAATAGGATATGGCTCCCCATACCATTACTCCTCCAACCCGACTATGTAAGCGATCCAGATGATGCTCTTCCTTGCGTAAATAGTGGATGTTCGGCTGGGGGGAAATTACTTCCTTCACTTTCCAGATAAGCACAAAACTATTAGAAACACTCCCGCGCCGCAGTCGTGGAAAACCAAAGAAATATCACCGCACACAAGAAAATCACCACCAACGAAAAGAAGTAGTAGGCCGGGGGGGCGTGGTAATTTCAATGTAAAATAGTATGGACTTGGTCCGCTTTATTGGAGTTCGATATAGGAATAATTAAAATGTACAAGCTGGAGTGGGAGATCAAACAACTAGGAGAGCGGGAGCGGCCGCTCAGCGATGCGACGATCGGCCAGAGCCGAAGCATCCGCTAGTAGAGCGGGAGCGAGAGAGCGAGCTGAGGAGCTTTGAAGAAGCGGGAGCGCTTCGGAGTCGCGGGGGGCGGGAACATAAGCTCCTGACCTGAACAGTGGAAATAATAATTATATCCGTCAGGACCCCCTAGGTTACATTTTTTTCGTCTGAAAATGCGACGTTATGCCTCTCATTGAATCATGTCATATGCGTGTGAGCAAACTTTAGGCGGATTTCTGTTCGCACTTGGTTAAGGGGTGGTTTTTTTTTTAGTTTTAGCTTCTTTAAAGGGTCAGCTTTCTTGATCACCTTTAAAAAAGTCGATTTTATTGTCTTAACACAAGTTTTTTCTATTATTTTGGCGGTAGAGTCGTGGGAGTTACACGCCTCTCGAAGTATAGCACTGCGATCTGCGGAACTAATAACACTGTTATTACCTCCTTTGTAATTTTTTCCATAGCTTTTCTTATTTTGAAGAAAATTTGCAATGGTTTTGCGATGTCTTCTCGTTTTTTCGACGATTTTGTGAAGAGAAAGTCCACATTCATTAAACGCTTCGATTTTCGATTTTTCCTCCGAAGATAAGATTGTTCCTCTGCCCATATTGTATGTCAAATTGAAGAAAAATGTTTAATTTAACAGCAAAAAAAAAATAGTTGCTGTGCTCAGCAAGTTAAGAAAGATGTTTAAATTTATATTTTGGGGGCGCTAATCTGATGACGCAGTTTTTTCTTCCAAATAAACGTGTTTCTTTAGTTTTTAATTTAATACAATTCTATGCAAATACCAACTGCGTTCTAATATATGTTTTTATTTAGAGAATTAATCGAATTATATTGGATAATAATTGTACAGTTCAATCTTTAATAGTTTTGATAATATTTTACTTCAAACGCGAGCACCAAGGGGGGCGCTAATCTGGTGACGCGCAGTGTATATACTTTATAGGGTCGGAAAGGTCTCCTTCACTGCGTTGCAAACTTCTGACTGAAATTATAATACCCTGCAAGGGTATTAAAAACCCACATTTCCCTTCAAAAATTAAGACTTTTAATTATTTGCAGTTTATTATTAAGAAAAATATAAATAAAATACAAATGCATTATGGTTTTCCTCCTGGAGCCTTCTTGTCCTAGCAGTATTTGCTTTTGAATTCATAATCATCCTCGGAACCGGTGGCCAGTAGCTCCTCCTTGCAGCCGTGATGCAAGCGATGGACATCCGAGTCAAAGCACTCGTCGTGGAGGCGCTTATCCCTGCTCTTGCTGCGCTGTCTCCGCGAATGGGCTGCATGACCATGTCCATGTCCACCATGGCTACTACTTCCATGACCATGGGATCCTCCATGGTGATTATAATGATGCTCCGACGGTGGTGGATGATGAATCGAGGCCTTGTGGTGGAAGGACGATGGCGGACTGAGCTCTCTGGGCGGACGACAGTGATTCGAAGGCGGTATGGGATCATCGTACCGCGGACATGGATGATCACCCACTGGCGAGGCGGTTTCATAGCGTTTCGAGAGCAGAGTAAACTCCTGATGGGCAGAGCACAAGGCTTGGAGACGGTGCAGTAGATCGGTCTCGGGTAGATCGCGAAGATGCAAGGTCCTGGCCACCGAAGTGCGGAAGGATTGCAGATGGGAGAGCCGCTGATTGGCATCCGAGAGCTGGGAACTCAGGCGATTGACATCGTCGCGCATGGACTGATTAGAAGATAAGTAATTAAATAATAAATTCCTTTTATTAAAGATTTAAAGGAAGATTTAATTCTTCAACTCACATTGATCAAGGCCTCATCGCGACACCGACGATTCTGATTGGACTCGCAGGACGACTTCAAGCGCTCCTTTAGGGCACTCATTTGGGACAGCAGCCGGGTCTTCTCATCCTCCAGATCGCATATCTGCGTGGTCAACTCATCGATCTTCCTGGCGCGTTCCAGCGAAGTGATCTTGTACTCCACAGCCTCGGCCAGTTGGGCCTTGACCTCTGCTATCTGGGATCGGGCATCCGCCAATTGGGCACTCAGCTTGTCCACCTGCTTGGACGCCTTTTTGGCTCGACAGACGGCATCATCCCGCTCCCCCTGCAACATGCACTTGCCCCTGGCACCGTCCTCTATAATGGCCAACTTGCGGCGCAGCAGCTCCAGATGAAGATCCCTGCGCTGCACTTGCTCTCGTAGAACCCGAACCCTTCGCTGCAGATTGTACAGACTGCTGCTCTCCTTCAGGGGTATATCATGGCAGGATCTCTCCCGGCGCAGCTTGCCATGACCATGTCCATCGCAGCAGCCCTTCTCGGGGGTGTGCGAGTGATGGTGATGATGATGGTGGGCGGCGGCCACCTCGTGCTCACAGTGGGCGGTGAGTCGCTCGGCGCGTTCAAGGAGATTCTCTGCCATCAAATTGGTATCGGTTCCAAGAGCTGGCGGGGCAGAGCACTCGCTCCAGTTCATGGCATTGGCCAAACGCTGCAGGAACTCCGAGAGTCCCATGTGATCTTTGCGCAACGTGTGGATCTCCGCATGACATTTCTCCAATCGATCGGAGAGCTCACATTTCTGGGCCTCGCCGGAACGAAGGCGACACTCGGTGGTCTGCTGGGTCTCCTTTAGCTTCTCTTGCTCGGTGTTGAGTTGATCGCGAAGGGAGTGCATTTGCTGCAGGAGAAACATAAAGATTTATTAAAGATTATTCAGATTTAAGCTCAGTATTCAAACCCACCGCATGCATGGCCTGATTCTCCGATAAAGTCTCCCTTAACTTGTCCTTGATGAGCGTCTCACAGGGCTCTGGAACATTCAAGAGGTTACTCAATCCCCGCAAGAACTGCAGGCGATCGCCCTGAATCCTGTCCAGATTATTCTGCAAACGATGACACCTTGACTCGAAGCCCCTCAGCTCTTCTTTGAGCTTCTCCCCATTTATCTCGGACTCGGTCAGGCGATCCCTCTGGATCTGCAGATCCCTCTCGTACTGTCGGCAGCGTCCTTCGAGCTCGTGATTGTGATTCCCGGCTCCATCCAGTTGGGCCGTCAGGCGCTGCTTCTCAATATTGGCCAGAGACTTCAAATTGAGCAGCTCATTCTCACAGGAGCTGAGAGTGTCACAGGTGGAGCTGACCTTGGCCTTGGCCCGCTGGAGTTCCACCATCACCTCCTCTGCCCGGGACACAATGCACTCGGGCGTGACATGTGAATTCTGGTTGCCATCGCACACATCCATTCCCAAGCCAATGCTCAGCCGGCGCAGGAGATCGTGTAGCTGCGCCTTAGCCTGCTCCTTTTGGGACTCCTCGCTGGCCACATGGGTCTCCAGATGCTGGATCTTGCATATCAGCTCCTTGTTGCGCTCATCCGAGCTGCGCTTTTCCCGCTGCACCGTGCTGATGGTGGAATCGCATCTGGCCTGCACCGATTGCTCCCGGCTCTCGGCATTCTGGAGGCGACTCTGCAGGGATCCAATGAGCGCTGTTTGCCTGGCAGCCTGTGCCCGAAGGTTCTCGATGTCGGCATCCTTGCTGCACAGGGCGGTGCGGGTTTCAGCGAGCTTTAAAAGGGATTTTTAAGGATTTTAAAGGATTTCATATCAGCATTCTTATCTTTATTAACTTCTGGGAATTTTTGTAACTTTTTTATATCGATATTTTTTATGACAATTTATTTTAAGTGCTAATTTATTTCTGATTACAGGATGTTTTTTTTTATTATTTATATTTAATTAAATATTTTCTTAAGTTTTTACCTCTCCTGTAAGCCTCTCCTTTTTGTAGGATAATGCAGCCAGTTCGCTGCGCAGAGTGGTGGTCATATCCAGGCCATGATGATGCTCGGTCACAGTTATTCCTGCACTGCCACAGGATGTGTCCAACTGGAAAATAATTATAAAACATTTTAAGCAAACTAAAAACTACCTAAAAATAAATTTTTTTAAGTTCGAATTCTAATTTTTTAGAATATTTTTATACCCCTGCAGGGTATTATTTTTCCAGTCAGAAGCTTGAAACACAGTGAAAGAATCATTTCCGACCCTATAAATCATATATATTCTTGATCAGCATCAACAGCGGAATCGTTTTAGCCATGTCCAGAGGAAAAACATTTTTGAGCTATTTTTTCAAAAATTGATAAGGGGTTACATCATTAAAATTCTCCAAAATTGAAAAAAATTTGATTTCTTAAAATTTTAAATTTAATATGCAGGTTTGTTAACCTTATTAAAACAAACTCAGAACAGCGTTCCGAATTGAAATTAATGCCTTTTTGTCAGAGCTATGATAAGTTTAGGATTAGCTTTTTCCAAAAATAGTTCATAGAAAATTATGGATTCAAATTCAAATTAAATAAAGTATGCGAGTTTATAAACCTCTTAAAAACAGACTAAAAACAGCTTTTCGAATTGAAATTATTGCATTTTTAGCTTAGTTTTGATCGATTTTAAAGGGTATATGCAAGGGCTTAGAAACTACGGCTTCCCGAAGTTGCTTTCTTTTTCGTTTTCAACTGAAAACTAACACTACATTTTTTTTCACTTTCACTTCTTCACGTTGTATTGCCTCCTTAAAAATGTATATATTTTATTTAAATATATTTATTATCTCCAAATTCATAATTCACTTCTCACAAATTCTCTTAAATTTAAAACTCCCTTCATAACTTTTTTCTCCTTCCTACCAAATGATGATGATGTGGCGACAGACCAGCACTGTGTCCCAGGTGGTGATGATGCAAATGATTGTCACTGGGCATTTTCGAAGCACCCCAAAAGCAGCGGGTCTCAAACTTAACCGTTCTCCGCCGTGGCCGCCGATGAACTGAGCCAGAAGTGGCGGCGCTAAGCTCCTGGGCGTGGGCCTAACAACCTCTGCCTGGCACCGAGGAATTTACTCCAACATAACATCACACAATGCTCGTGTTTATGCTCCAAGTGAAAACGAGCTCAATGGCAGGAGCAGGTGTAACAGGAGCAGGAGCAGGAGGAGCACCAGCAGGAGCAGGAATAGAAGTAGCAGTAAACCTTAGCTTAGTAGCGGAGCCAGAGGAAGGGCACAACTATAGCCACATTTACACATCGGGGTAACTTTGCAGTTTGTTTGGATTATTTGGGTCATTCACATGGCGCCAAGTGGCGAAGTACGTATACGTACGAGGAGTATCCAATGCAATATCCACAAGCGGACTCACGCACGCAACTGCGGATGAGGCCGGGTATGAGGTAACGGTGGTTTGGCTGGTTTCTACGGTGGAAATTTTGCACTCTACGCCCGGAAACGGAAAATGAGGTGTGCAAGTTTTTGGCCAATTGTCTGCACTTTCCAAAAGGGGGAAAGCAGACAAATGAGAACTGAAAATGTGCTGAACATTCGATAAGCTGGCCCGAAGTTAATTATGCAGCCAATGGAGTTTGGCTTGAAAAGGAAATTGAAATTGTTTTTCAGAGAGAAAATATTGCAGAGGGATTGATATCAGAGGTTTTTGGAGAAGAAAATTAAAGTTTTCTGTCTTAAAAAAAAAAAATAAATAAATAACAAAGTGTTTTTAGGGTTGTTCAAAAAGAAACCTTAATGTTTTATTTATTAAATATGGTTTTCTTTGGCTTTAAAGCCTAAGTTGGCTCTAGAATTCCCAACTTCTTAAAGCTTCTACTAAAAATATATAGTGGTTAGATCTAGCAAAGGGTTCCGAGTCATATCAAGAGCTATATCTCCCCCTACTCTATGATTTACCTATCTATTTAATATAACTATTATTTTATTTAAATATTTTGGATTAATTTTTATAGGGCTACAAAAAGATTAAACCTTAGCTATATAAGATCTATAATTCAAACTGGAATTAGCATATAAATCACTAATAATTCCCTAAGAATGCATTACATTAGCCTCAAAATTATAATTCTCCCTGACTTCTCTTTTATATGCACCCTTTAACAAATCCTTTAGAGGCCATCCCCAACCACTGTAACCCCCCGATCCCACCAAATTTTATGCAAATCCTCGACCCTCCCTTAGACAAAAAAACATCATTAGAGTTCCCCTAACAACCGCATAAATTTGAAACATAAAAAAGCAACGAACAAAAGTCATTATTCAATTGCGAAATAGCATAAATCTAGCCTGATATGATGATGTCTATATACCTTAAATATGGCAATTTGGCACACGATTCCACGATTCTAATTTTAGGCAAACATGACTTACCTGGTGGTAAGTTGGATGGGAAGACGGCACTGTGGTCATCAGACTTCCAGAACTGATTTTTGTGACATTTTCCAGGCCGCACAAAACCTCAAACACTTGCCAATCCTCCAGAGTATTGCCATTGGTCGTGGGACGCAGATTCGTCGGCATTCCAAAAGGATTTAATCTGGATACCAACCCGATCCGCCTCTAACTGCCGTTGAAGAATTTCTACACACTCTATTTTCTAGGCGATGGACGGACAAAAAAACAACAAGCAAATAGGCAAAGTTATGCGGCGACTTTCAGGTGGTTGCCACGGCGCATAAAATAACTATGCACGGAGGACGCGTTGCTCCTAGTTGGTGTGGGAGTTACTACGGCGACGTGGAGTGCATGTAATTCGATTTTCTAAACTGCAATTTCCACAGCAAAACCCCACCTCCGAAATCGTTTACCTGTAATTTCATTTGTCTCCAAACAAAACAAAATAATAATAATGAACATGGTAAATGTTTGCCTTAAGTTCGATTCGCTACGCCCCCATTCCCTGATCCTTTGACAGTGACTTTGAATGGCAACAGGAAAAAAACAACAACATGAACCCTTTGGGGGTTAAGTTCGCCAGGCTTTACACAGAGATATTTGATTATTTTGTTTGGGTTGCCAACATAAATACATTTTGTCGAATATCGATGAGCTTTAGAATTTGGCTGATTTCTTTTTTTTCTTGGCTGGTTGCTTGGGCTTGTACACAGCCTCTATGACCTTTACCGCGGCCGCCACATCAATGGTGGCTCTTTCAGCTTTTGCCTGGGGAAAGAAAGGATTTCATTAAATAAGTATTTAATTTAAATAATAAAAAATCCTTAAAAACCAAGAAAAAGCTCATATTCCCGCCTTCCTACCTGCTTATCCCTTCGTATTTTCTCCTCCTGTGCCATCAGTTCCCTCTCCTCGGCTATTCTCCGCTTGAACATCTTCTCTTGCTCCATATAGAACTTGTGATCGTCCTTGACTTTTTGCAGGGCAAGTCTGGCCACCGTGCACTCCACCTCCACGTTTTCAAGATCGTTTTCGAAACGCATCTGCCACTCGTTGAGTTTGTCCCGCAGATTGTCCACTTCGATGGCGTACATGTGCTCCGAGTGGTTGCGCACCAACTTGTCCTTTCTAATGGTGTCCTCCAAATCCTTGAGTTGCTTGGCCAGCTCATCCTCGCGTCCATTGAGGCGCATCAGCCGCTGGTCGGCACAGCTGTTCAGCCAGTTGAACCTATAGCGCAGTTCAATGGGATCCAGAGCTAAGATGAAATTAAGAAATTTTTAAGATATATTTTATATAAATTCCAAAATTCTAGGCTCACCGCTTACGTCCTCGAACTGATCGAGGACCTCCGTTAGACGTATGTTTTTCATGTTAACGCTGCTGGACGTATTAAGCTCAACATAGCCCCTTAGTTTCTCCCTTGTTTGGATATTTTCAGCAAGACCCTTAATCCAAGGACCATCTAAGTTGTACTTGGCCTCACTAAGGAGAAAGTAGAATATATATTTAAGATGGAATCCCTACAAAATGCAACCACTTACCGCAGCATTTGAATGCTGTTTTCGCACATATCCTGATCTTCGCTAAAGTCCTCTCTGATCTCGTAGATTAAACGCATCATTTCATGCAGATCCGCCCGGAACTTCAGGCAGTCGAGGTCTTCGGTGGTCCGCTCCCGATTGATCACGTCAAGGTACAACTGATTGATTTCCAGACGCGCCATGAAGTTATCCAGCGACCAGCTAAACAGATTGTTGGGGATTTCGTCCAGTTTACCGGGCCAGGGGTAGGAGAAGAGTCGCAGTTGCCTGAGAAGGCGCACTGACATGAACTCGATGGCCGCCTTCTGGCACTGCTGATTGAGCTGCATCAGCTGGGACATTCGACTCGTGCGCTCCACGGATTTCCTTATTGATGATTGATGCTTGACGCCACTGCGAGCCAATTCCAGCCACTTGTGAATAACGTTTGCAAGTTTTGGCTCGGCATCTGGATTCTCTTCTGGCATCTGAATAACCACGGACATGCTCCTATGGCTAAGAACTGATCTGGGCTTTAGCAAATTGATCCTCTTCTCCTCACTTTCCACGTAATTCTTAATGAACTCATCGCGGCACATGGAGGGATCAGTAATTTCGGGTATGGGAAACCTAATTGCATACTGGTCGGACTCCGCAGATTGGGATTCCGCTGCATCCATTATAACCAGATTTACACTGTTTTTCTTAGACATTTTAATAATTTTTTTTTAACGTTTATTATTGGTGTGTGTGCTTGTTTGTTGAGTGTTTACCTGTCACTTTTGAATGTATAATTTGGGTGGCCTTTTTAATCGGTGCTTCTGTGGCGACTTGATCGTCCTTATTCGCCTCTTCTTTTGTGGACGGCTCCAAGGAGCACGTCCACGTGCCCCATTGCGGCCATCCGCTGTTGCAGGTGGCGCAGGTCCGTTATGATGGGGAATCCCGCCTCCTTGAGGAGCACGTTCTGCGTCCATTTATCCGCCACCAACGCCTGCAAGTGCCTTTGCAGGCCCTCCTGCCAGATCCTTTCAAAAACGCACTCAAGGCAGTCCTGGACTTCCTGCAAGTCGAATTGGCGGTATTTCTGAAAAGAATGGATTAGACGTCTATATACACATATGTATATATATGAATACATACCACATTGCTGTAGACGATCTAATTAAGGGCCTTGTCCTCGGTGGTGGCCAGGATAAGCAGCATATTGACGGCGACCGGCTGCAAGGATCATGTATACTTAATAAACTATGTATATACAATCAGAATATACATATCTACTCACCGATTTAAGGAAGATGTCTCGGGCGGGTGCAGTCATCCACAATTGGCATGTCGCATCTCGCCTCCACTGCCAGGTGTGACTTGGCAATATAAGAAAAGTCCAATGGGAACATTTTCCAATTAATAACAATTTCCAACTCGCGTACCAATAAGAACATTTTCAAGTGTGACCGTACGATTTTCCTCAAAAAACCCGGGTTTTTAGTTTAACTCTTTGGTATAACTTTAAATACTAGAAATATTTGTAATTCCTATGGTATTTTCATTATTACATCTGGTCACACAATTGCCGCGTCAATAACAAAATCGTTTCTCAAATTCAAGTTTTACTCATTTTTAAAGTGCTTGCTTGTTTTATTTAGTTTGCGTTTAATTTAAATTTATGTTTTATAGTGCGCAGTAATTGGAAAAAGTGTTCACCCAAAAGTATCATTTATTGAAACCATACTTAAGATACTAGGTCTTATAACTTCTAATTGAAAAAAATGATGCAATTGGGAGAAGCCCGAGTGCAAGACGTTCAAAAGATAGTGGGTTTATTTCATCATCATTAAAAATATTCCATATATTATTTTTAATTTGTTTAAAATATGCCCCAAATGTTCAACCGTCAAAACTAGACCTCATCCACGAAGGTAAAACTTTCTGAAAAGTAAGAACAACCTAGAGACGAATATCCAAGAAACCATTAACTACAAAAAATTCAATAGTTTATAAAATTGTATAAAGGGAGATAGTAAGATTCCGGTAAGATTAATTATCAATTATCATAATTTCCAGTCTTAAAGAAACCCTGAAAAATGAAGTCAGATTTATATCTGATTTTTCCAGTAAGATTAAAAACTTCAAGAAATATTTTTACTGTTTGCTTTATTCAATAAACTTTGCTTTGCACCTAAGTATACGTCGTTATCCATTAGATAGCATAATTTACATTGAATTCATATAGAGGTTAGTCCAATATACTTCACTTTACTTGTACCCAACAAATGCTCATCTCTCAAATAGTCCCTTCTTAGCATTATATACAATATACGAGTAATATGTTTTTATTTAGTATTCCGTTACATTAATATTTGCTCATTTGTGAATGTTGTTTTGTTTTTAAACATTAAATATATAATAGACTTGATTTTGTTTGGAAAACACTTACAATATACAGCTAAAGACTGGCTACACATCTATATTGCGATTTCCAAATATATATATATTATATATGCGATATTTTTGTGGCTTCGCAAATAGAATTTGACTAGATCAACTCGTGGTTCTACTACCGATTATCCTCGTAGAAATCCCTCCTCCGAATAAGAATATTGCTCTATGGACTCACCCAGCACGGCTTTCGTTGTCTTTTCCCCAGTTCCCAGATTCCCATTTCCCGTTACCCGTTCCCCACTTTTCCACCGATTCCAGTTACCGAGTTCCCTCCTAGCACTAGAAACAGACGTATCTGTATGCAGGCTACATACGTATCCTTCTCACCGACTAACCCAAAAATTCGAAATCCCAACTAATCAAACATAATAAACAAGCTTAACTCGACGCACACACAGAAGAAAACAGGGAACGGAGAGTCGTTGTCGCCCCAACTGCTATTTTTCACTTAATTATTGCTAAGACCCCAGCATCCCCTCCACTCACCACCCCCGCATACGCCACCCATTGAGCACCGTTATTTTATTACTGTTTACCGTTCTTGAACGTCACTAGCGTCGTCCCTTTCCGGCGAGCAAGGAATAACGGAAGTGTGCCAATTCCAGTGTCAGCCATTGAGCGTTTCGGTGTGTTAATTGTTTTTCTCCACTCCGCCGCCCTTCGCCGCCCTGTTTCAAGTGCATTAAAAAGATCATGGGTGGTAAATTAACTTATTGGCGCGTCACTTGGCCGGCGACCGTTGTTCCTCAGTCGCCAGGACTGCTAGTTAACGGTAATTGATGCCATGTTTTTGTTGCTATTGCTGACAATTGTACATATGTACAGTAGACACACACACTAAAGTCGAACTTTTATGTAGATAATTTTCTTTTTAAATTAAATTTAGCAGTTTACAAAAAAAAAATATTAAATTGCTGAATTTGTAAGTGTGAAAAGTAAGAAATTAAGAATTTAAATCCAGCTAAAGACATCCTTAAGGATACATTTTTAAAATAATTTTAAAAGTCTTGCTGACTTGTTAATATTTGATGAATACTAAGTAAGAATGTTCGACTTGCACCTGGTGTTTCTTTCGTCCGATTTGTACATTTGAATATATAATAATGTTTATGTACATTGCCAAATATGCATAATACAATAATTTTAAATATTTATAAACTAGTTCTCAATGCTTTAACAGTGGTTAATTGTATAGTTTTACTTTGACTAATTAACTTATATTGAAATATTTTTGTTTTTCCCGAAACGATTCGGTTTTCTTCATATTACTAATTTTCTTTAATTTCGAAATACGTATATTAACCTTAGTTTTTAATTTACTGATATTTCAGGATGAGTTAAATTTGTGCAATTTATTTTAAATATTTTTAATTTGTTAAACATTGTATTCATTTTTTAGCAGGCAGAGGATTGGGGTTTTTTTTAGAGAATCTGAAGAAATTTCTGTTCTAGATGGGTCAAGGCATAATATAAGATTATTATTTAAAAAATAAATATCAACAAAAGGTGTTGGAAAAAAAATATAATTTTATAAACATACTATTTAAAACCAAGTTCCTTTTCCTTCCAATACAAATCATTCCATATAAAACCAAAAAGATGCGACTGTTGATGAAACCACCTTTAACCATTATACTTAAAAATTTTGAGCGATAGTTAGATACATCAATCTGTTTCTTTGAGTGTACAAGGACTCGATTGATCATAGATTCTTCCTTTAAGCTACAAATTCTATTCACACTTGAATCCCCATTTACCACAGACCTTCATCATTTAACCCCGCCTCGCCAATGTCTTAGAGAAACTCCCGGAAAGGCTCATCAAAGTTGTCATTGATATCCGCGAAACTGGCGCCATTATTGCCCACGCCCACACCTATCCCAACGCCCACGCCCACAGCCGTGTTTCCATTGAGTATGAGCGTAGGCTGCTGCTGCTGCTGCTGCGACTGCATCATGCTGGCTCCCATGTGGCCATGGCCAAGCATCGTCTGCTGGTGCTGGTGCGGCGGAAGGTGAGTGCCTTGCTGCTGCTGTTGCTGCTGCTCCAGTGGCGTCTGCATGTGCATGGCCTGGGGCTGGAGGCTCTGCATCGTGGAAGTGGCGGTCACAGCGGCAGCGTTCAGCAAGCTGCCATCACTGGCGGCCAGGAGAGCGCAATCGAAAGCCCCGCCGTTGGCCAGGGCGTCCTCAAAGCAAAGCGTTGTGGCACTGGAGTTCCCAGCCGTGCCACTTGCTGCTCCACCAACGCCACCGCCTTCCGCTGTGAGATTGGAGAGCAGTACACCACCAACGGCCCCGGAGTTTAGCTCCATGGCCGCCGCCTCCTCGTTGCGCTTGGACAGAATGATGTGAGTCAGATTGATAATGTAGTTCTTGGCCAGCGTCAGGGTTTCTATCTTGGACAGACGACGCTCCATCTCCACGTGTGGGATGACCTCGCGCAGCGATTGAAACGCATCGTTCAAGCTATGCATCCGCATCCGCTCGCGCTCATTGGACTCCAGTCGCCTCAGGTTTCGCTCCTTGGCGTTCAGCGCTCCCTTGCGCCGCCGATTGGCATTGGCGTTCGCATTAGAGGAGCTGGAGTTGGCGCTGTTTGGCGTTAGACTGGATCCACAGCCACCGGAGCCGGTCTGCTGGTTCCGTCCCCGACCAAGGGATCCCTGCCCACCCTGGGAGCTTCCCGGCGGATGGCCGGTATTGGTGGTACTGCTACCGCCTCCGTTGCTGCTGCCACCACCACCACTAGTGTCGTCGCTCTGCGAACTGGAGTCCGTCATCTCCAGGTCGTAGGTGTTATTGCTTACCTGGAAGTCAACAGGGAAAATTGGAGTGTCTGAAATGAGGGAATCTCCCACCACCTTACCTGTGAGGTGCGTCTGGTGGCTCGTCTCACCGGCCGGGTACTGCCTTCCGCCGATTCTGGCGACAGACCATTGTGTCCGTCCGTGTTGTAATTGTTGTTGTTGTGGTGCAACTGCTGCTGTAACTGCATGAAGTCATGACTGGTCATCAGTTCGGTCAGCTGAGTGGCATCCATGGTTAGGGAAATGTCCAAATCCGAACCCACTGTGAGCGAATATTCCGCTGGAAAATGGACGGTCTTAGTTTGAACTAACTAAGCAACAAAGTTAGTAGGTTAATCTTTTTAAATTTAATTATTATTCATATTTTTTCATTCAATCAACATTCATTTATTCGTTCAAACATTTATAAGCTAATTTTTGTAAGCAAGATCGTTGTCATATTAGCTATTATCTTAGTAAAGTGTACGAGATTCTCTTGTAATATTATAAAGTAATGAAGATTCGGTTCCGGTAAATTTATCTAAAATTGTATATCATAATATAAAGTTCTATGTATAATATTTGAGTTTGATCCGAGTGCTTAGCATATAACTCTTGGGAAGATCTCAGACACAGACAACGCTGTTAATCTTCTTATCCTTTATCCTAAGTATAACTTGTCATGTCAGAATTTATTATTAGGATTGTTTCTTAAAGTTGTTGAATTTCTATATTTTCTGTATAAACAATTTTATAACTAAAGTCGCGACTTTGAATTTATGACTTCCTCAATTTAAGCTAAAGCTTAAGTCAAAAACATTTTTATTTTACAAAAGCTACTTCAATTTCTTTGTAATATGTATAACCTTTCAGGTGTTTTAAAAACTTGCTTAAAAATCCGCATCTTCTGGGGTAAATGATGAGATTAATGAATGGGTTAGTCCATGTTTACCATCCGATTATTCTCAAATTTTTGTAAAAATATCCGCTATAGGATACTTACTCTTTTTCAGTATAAATTAAAATCTAATTTAAAAAAAACAGCTTATAATTTATATGGTAAAAACTAAATAACAGTTTCCCCTGTAATATCCTTTCAAACTTTTAGTATAAAAACTCTATACTCTTTTTGGGTGTCGAACTTCCCACTAATTTATCATTGTTATTCCTTGATAATCCTTATCTGAAATCGATATTTGCTATCTGCATTGAACATTACACGTGACTATTTGACACATAAATTAGGCTTGATGACACATATCCAATATTATTCCCTCAAAAATTATCTCGAAAGGCAAAAAAAAAGAATTCGTTTATTAATGTTATTTGATTCGATTTTATTACATCAGTTTTTACGATGTGGGTATGTTCCACAGGCATTCATACTGGATATAACCAATATTTATTACTCTGGAATATTTGTTTCTCTTCTGAGAGTTTATTTTTTTAATCCAATATAAATATTTATTAACTAGACTGGCTTTTTGTGTATTAAATCCAGCAAGTTAGTAATATAATCCACTAATTAACTTCTGTAACCCCCTTAAAAAGCTTAAAACATCGCTAATCAGTAGCTGCAAACATTATTTAATAGCGAAAAGGATAATTTGGTGCCCTTCTTGGAAGTCATATCTGGTCCAAGGGTCAGCCGGCGTGAACAGATTGCATTGTACTTGAATTAAAAAGAAGAATGAAGCTGCGAGCAAAACGGTTACCGATGAAACGCCATTGCGGCGTTGTCGTTGTTATGGTTATGGAACGCCCTTTGGCTGCCAGCATTTGACCCGGAAACGGGCTAAAGCATTTAAAGCGTGGGACAGACCAGTGGACACGGATATCCGGGGGACACGCGGCGGACACGGAAACAGGGAAACATCGACTTTGCTGTAATAGAAAACGCGCACTTTGCGGTGCATTTCTTGCCCGCTCGGCGTTGAGTGAAACAAAAGTGTCGCTATTATTTAACGACAACACAGCTCCTTGGGCTCTAGACTCTTTGGGGTCTTTAAAAGAAATGTTAAGAGAAATGACTACAACACAAAGCTTAACACAGCGGTGGGTCTCTCCCAGCCTCGAAGATGGGGAATATGCGATTTCTGGGTATACTTTTTCTGGGAATGCAACATTTTTAACGGAAATTTCGTATTAAGTTGCTTAGAAAATATATCAAAAATTAAACCTAAATAATCTGTATAACTTCAAAATGAAGACATCTAATTTATATAGTCCTCGTTCTAAAATATCACCCTAAAAAATAAGTCAATCGCTTCTCAAACTCCTTGGACTCTTCACCTAAGCAGTGTATAAGGCTGTTACATTGCACTGAGATCAAATTTGGTTTTTATGTAATGGACCGACAAGGGGTATTAAAAGAATTCAGAGAAGGGAATAGCGGGAGGTCCAATAAGTCGCCGATTTGTCGCCATCCGATGGCCTTAAATGCAGATCCTACCAACACGTTGGAGGCTCGAACTCCTTGCCGCCGGTGGCGTTTGCACTGAAATTGCAGCTTCCTTTGTCTGAGGATGGCCGGAGGGCTTGAGGATCTTAGCAATGCAGCCGGCAGCCAGCACCTGGTCTTGTGTAATATTTATTACGCTTTCTAGTAAATAAAGCATACTTTTGCGCGCCTTTGTTTGCCCTTTTCTGTGCGTGGGTCGACACAAGGTTGCCACAATGAGGCACTGCATTTGACAAGTATTGGGAATTCTGTGGAGCCTTCCAGTGGGTTGAAGCTATGTCAAGTATGAATGACTCCAAAGGCAGCTTTGAGTATTGGACCTAATGAAACTATGTATCGAAGTTGTATAAGAAGAATAACTATTTTTAATACACCTTTGGTTTTGTTCTTTCCATTAAGATAATCATGTATCAGGGCGCACCAAAACCTCTGAACTTCTTTTCTTTTTTTACAATACTTAAAAAAAATTTCACAGAAGTTTTACCAAATAAAAAATGGTTTAAGCACAGTACTGTCGGATTTCTTGAACTTTTAGCTACCTATTAATTAACAAAAGTACACTTTTTTATAACTTAGAAATCCCTGTGTTCATTCCTTGTAGTTTTATCAAAATATGGCTTAACTATATATTTAACTTACTTTTAATTTTTAATGAATTAAAGTTGTTCTGCTTAATAAGTTATCTTTGAGCGTACATGTCACAGAATCACGAAAACACCTTTTTCAACACTATTTTTTTGGTAAATTCAATAATATTTTTATTGTATGGTATTAAAAATCATATCACACATTTTTCGCTTGTCTTAAAAATCACCTTACTATTTCTTTCTTTGGAAATATTAATTACAAATCGTAAATCTCTTGTTTTTCAGCACAATTCGAATATTTTTCAAAGTATTTTGGAGCTACGACCGAATCGCGCTGAACCAAGTATCGAAACTGAGCGCCCACCGAGTACCGGAAACGCGGAAGCGCTGAGGATGACGGCCACTTGTGGAATGGCTGCAGCCACGAAGCTACGGCGTCGGCAGACCCGAGTCCAGGCCAAAAGGCGAATCACAGGCCTCGCCGAGGAGCGCCGAGGCGAGCAACAAGTCCACCGCCCAGGGGTGGGCTGGGGCTTCTACCCGCACGAAGGCCCCAAGCGAAGCCAAACTGGCGAATGGAGAGCAGCCTGAACGGGCTCAAAGTCTGAGTCAAATTCTGAGTGAGTTTCGTTAACTTTGTTTTTGGGGAGAGAGAAAGTCAGAGCAGAGTCTGGGATAATTGTTACCTAGTAAAAGTGAAATATATTGGAAAACTGTAATCCCTTTTACATAATCCTGAACAGATGTTTGGAACTATAACAAATATTCTAAATTATTTTCTATTATAAACATTTCTTATTCGAACCTCATTTTCTTATTATTTATAAGGATAACATTGCATTGTTTAACTATAATTACAAATTATTAATTGGAATAACACATCCACAAGATGTAATTTCTTAGATACTTTGTGTGTGCTGTAGGGACACCTCTTTCTCATGCTTAGATACCTCTAAACCCTCAATATCAATATTAATTCCTACTCAAAACCAATATGCCCAAAGTACAAAGAATCAACAGGAAGGGCACTACGTCGTAGTCCTTATCACATTACACGTTATCCTGGTCTAACACACACAAGCACTGGGGCAAAGCCACCCCATTAGGCTCATTCGCCCAACGGGGTGGCTTGTGTTTTGGAGTTTCTAGACATGCACACCACGTGCTCGGGCCCAACTCCGGGCGGGGGGTATTGAGCCCCAGGGGCAGGGGCACAGCACAGGCACAGGGTGGGAGTATGGGGGCTGGATGGGTGCCTGATTAGTCCCGCTGACGCATGTTGCTCTCTCAGCGGCCTGCATTCGACCGCGGATGACTTCCCAGCTCCTTTGTTACCAACTCCGATTGCCTGGGCTGGCCCGGCCGTATACTGTATACTGTTATTATTATTATCGTCTGTTTGTCCACGCTCTTGTTGCTGTTGGTTATCACAGTGCTTACGTCCTTATCGGGTGGGTTTTATCTCATGATAAACTATTGTCGACAGATAATAAAATGTTGCCAGAAAGTTATTTAGCTTTTCCGAATGTTGCGAGTTTCCCCAGCCAAGGCATGTGTGTCTTTGTGGTTTTCATATGACTACTTTTTCTGCTTGATTTTAGTCAAAGGGTTTTTTTTTAATATTGACAGAAGTATTGAAGGACTAAAGGATGGCAAAGTTGTGCATTAACTTTTAAGGGGAAGCGAAAGCTATGGGATTTTCTGCTATGAAACGCAGGGTAAGCGCAGTTTGGTTGTTGCTTATCTTTTCCGTAGAAGCATCTACGGTTTTTGATTTCGATTAAAGGGTTTTATAACTTTGAACAGCCGATTAGAAATAGCCATGGCCGTCTGTTTGTTTGGCACTGTATACTTCTTGCTGCGGCAAGTTCTCTACATGATTTTAAATCGGAAGAGAGAATAAAACGAAGACTATTAACGTAACTTGGTAGTAAATACATTCCACGCTTAATTCCAAAAATAAATATATTTATTTTTAGGACAATATTTACTCGTGGCAGTCAAGAGTTAACTTAAGTTAACTTCGACGGCAAGTGCACTGCCTTGCAGCCCAACCCATCCTTCGTCCCCTTTGTTCACAAATTCCTCTTCAGCCAAGTGTTGCCAAATGCAAATTGACAGTTAATATTTTTAAACTGGCAACTCTATTCCGAGGGATGTGGGCCGGGGTAGCTGTTGTCGACAAGGACATTATGTAAATCACAGGGCGGCGGCAGGAGAAGCGTTGGCGTACTATCTGCCACCACCCCTTTTCCTCCGGTCCAATGGGGAAATAATAAACAGGAAGGAAAAAACAGAAGGAGCTGCGAAGGCAGCAAGTGTAGCCGAGAGCGGCTTACAATCCTCGGAAAAAGGCCCTTTTGATTATTTCCATTCAGCAAAGTTTTTGCCGTTTGCGGCCAGCACCGAGGTCGTTCGCTGCCCATCAACAGTTGGTTGTGCATGTCTGGACCCATCCTGACTGCAGTCCTTTTACCCATAACTTATTAAACCTATCATTGTATTCGACATTTCGTCTAGGAGCAAACAGTGCTCTAATATTGCAAATATATTTGGTTGAAGGAAGAGAAATAGTTTGTAGAACATTTGTTAAGGTTGAAGTTATTTATGATTTAAAGTATAGAAATTTTTCATAACCAAACTCTTCCAGAAAGACAATAACAAAATTAGACTCTAAAATAAACGTGTGTAGCTACAAATTAAATAGGATAATTTCGTTGTTAATCTGTTCCTTTCTCGCGCCCCCGTCAAGCCATCAATCATGGCAACCGCAGAACTGGATTCAATCCCACCCCAGGCGCCGCAGCAACCAACGCCTTTAATGCAATCAGGAGAGAAGTCTTCACCACACGACCGGCATTTTAAGCAGCCAGCGATCGACTTTAACATGTTTAAGACACAAATTTAATCATGGCAGAGAGCACAGTACTCCTTCTCCTCTTACTCACTCCTCAATCGTAGCCATCAGGCCTCTAAGTCGGTGCTAAGCCAGGCAAGGGGAATCACACCCGCGGTTATTTAAAAATGCTAAAACAAGAGAAAATATTGTTAGGCAATAATAAATAGAAGGGGGCGAGCGAGAAAATCTAAGTAGACGAAGCACCCGGCTGCCTGCCCTCGGGGGCAAGCCATCCTACGCGACCTGTCAAATGTCAATAGCAAAAAAATCGTCCTTCTTGTCGTCGTCAACAGCTGCTCAGCATCCTTGTGCCCTTTGCCGCCGATCACCGCAGCACAGGACCTGATGGCGACCCCTAGTATTTCGGACGGGAGCAGGAGCAGGAGGAGGAGGTGGTGGTTGGTTGGTCAGTCAGTTGGCATATTTACATTTATTATGGCAAACGCACGCAGTGCCTAGCCCGACTGACGTACACATACTTCTCACATAATCGGCTTGTAATATTTACTCTCCTGAAGTTGGGGGAGGGGCTGGAAGGCAATTTGAGGTTTCCGATAAATATTGGGGCCAAATCGATCAAGAGTGGGAGAAGTGAGTAGGTTGTGCAGGATTTTTAAGGAAATTTTAATATAATTTAAAATCTATTAAAATAGTTTCTATAAACATGCATCACAAAAACGAATTTACTATAAATTTCAAGCCCTTACAAACTGCACATCAGCAGACTTTAAGCCTTTAACCTCGAACTATAATTTATTTATAAATATATTTGCACTCTTAAAAATAGCTTCTCTTTAAGGACATCTTTTGGTTCTACATTCAAGGGATTTCCTTACAGAAAACTGGTATTTACTCAGCGATGCTTGTTAAGTCTTTGGATTCACTTGAAAAAGGGAAAACAAAATAAGTGCAAATAATTATTATTTACACAGTGGGCCATGGAAAAGGAGAGAATTTATAGCACACATTTTGATTTAACGATCCGGAAGGGGGAATATGTACAAGCAGCATGTATGAAAGGCGGCTTTTAGCATGCTTTCCCTCGTCCTTCGTCCTTTGCCATATTTATTAACCCTCCTTCTCCTTTGGCTGGATTCGCTTCGGTGGCTCAAGAGCTGCTAATTGGTGTGATTAAAAAGTTGGAGGCGAGCATTTTAAAAATAAAGCCAAGGCAAATATTGCGCATACGTCATGTGGACGCCTGCCACGACGCCACACCCTTAACTTCTTTACAATGTTAATGTAATCAAAGTTTAACTTCCGCCTGATCTGTGATCATTTTCATAATCAAACTTTAGTAGCAAAAAAAAGTATAAACTCATTGCAGGTGAGCCTTGAATAAAAATCCAAACAACAAAACCAACAAAATTACATCTAACAAGAAAGGAAGCTAACTTCGGCACGCCGAAGTTTTTATACCCTTGCAGATTGGTTTCGATGTTTATATTATAGATTTAAATGCTGAAAACACTCACAAAACAGAGTTTCATTACATTTTACCTATACTTATTATGTTTACAGTTTGACAGTTACAGTTTTACATTCCCAGCTTTACATATTTTATACATTTGCCGATCGCTTCTATGGCAGCTATAAGATATAGTCGTCCGATTTTCATAAAATTTTTACCAAAATTCTTAAATAATATAGAGTGGCCATATCTAAAAAATGGTGCAAAAATGTTGAAAAACAGCAAAGTTATAATTTTTTTTCTAAAAATATATCGAACATTTGTATGGCAGCTATATGATATAGTCGTCCGATCCGGCCCGTTCCGACATATATAGCAGTGAGAGCATATAGAAGACTATATGCAAAGTTTCATTCAGATAGCTTTAAAACTGAGGGACTAGTTTGCGTAGAAACAGACAGACGGACAGATGGACAGACGGACAGATGGACAGACGGACAGACGGACAGACGGACAGACGGACATGGCTAGATCGACTCGGCTGTTGATGCTGATCAAGAATATATATACTTTATAGGGTCGGAAAGGTCTCCTTCACTGCGTTGCAAACTTCTGACTGAAATTATAATACCCTGCAAGGGTATAAAAAGGTTGCTTTGAAAAATTAGCATTTAAATTACGGGAGAAAGTTCAATGAAGCGCTATTAATTGGAATGTCCTAGCCGGAATGGCAAGTGGGGGAAAGTTGGCCGGCGGAATGGATAGGATATGAAAGTATAGAACCAACCGCGCAATGACGTCTTTCGCCTGCCTTTGATGGCTCCCAGTTTGCACCTAGAAAATGACACGACGGATAATTGTTATTGATGGCGGATTACGAGACTCTGGGTCCAAGTTATCTTTGGACCAGGCCGCTGAGGATGTTACGCAGCCATCGAATGTCATAGGCATTCGTGGCAGACCTGTTAATGAGGCATTCAAGATTTACATAAGTTGTTCTTAACTTTAATGGTAAATATGTCTTCATTATACTTTCGGCCAAGTCTGCTTAAGCCAACAAATTAAATGAATTACCATGTAATTTTTCGAAGGTTTTACAAATAAATTGAAATAAGTCTGGTTTAAAATGAATGAAAAATGTATCGTTAGGTATTCCATAAAATATTTTGTGCGAAAAACTGTTTGTAAATTTATGTTTCTATAATTTAAATCAATTTCTAATATATTTTTAAACACAATTTCTTTGGATTTAAAATCTATGTACAACGATTTAGAAGGCACCCCTTTTATTCATATTATGTTA